GGGCCCGCACGAGGGCAGTCAGGTTGAACCTGATCGTCCCTGAGTCGGCCTAGCCAGGTGCCGCTGAGTTAATTCGCAGCTATTCTGAACCCAGTAAAGTTGTTTCACTAGCTCACTCACCATGCATGTGTTAAAAAAATCGGAACAGATCCACAGAAAGGAGAAAAAAAGGAAGTTTTTTTTTTTCATCAAATAGACTGTGAAAGAAGCATTCAGCATACCCAGACTAAGTTGTTAGGAAGTGGCGCTTTCTGTCCCCAACAGGCTGCGATCATAGTCGTACTTTGGGGTTTTCGAGACTTACAACAAAACACTCTTCAGATGTATATAGGTCCAAGCCCAACATCATCGGGTATGAGGAATGCCATAAATCATTTGTGTGTCTTCAATGATTAGCCAATTTGTTTTTCAATGCGCGGTGAGTGAAGCGCGCCCGAACTCATTTGCCGGCGTTGTGCACGCTGCATGGAGCCGCGAAAAAGAATCAGGATCTCAGCACCCTCCCACCTCAAAGCAGCAGCGAGAGGCATGTACTACACCCGATTCCAAGGCCATAAGAAGAAGTGAGCGCGCAGGTGCAGTCTAGCCCGGCCGTGAAAAATTTCGCTTGATTCAACTGGGCTCCGCTAGATGGTACCAACTATCCAGCCTAACCATACGAAAATGAAATTTTGAACCACTCGCACCATTGCCCGTAGTAACACTAGGCGTTTTTTTTTTTTTACAAGTCTGACAAAAACGAACAAGTGGCATTTTATTACATCTCTTGATGCACAGAAGGTTCTTTTTTTTATTGCTGATGTTGATTATAATTGTAGTCGTATGTTCTGGCGTGAAGAGAGCAGAATGGATAAGCGAACCAATTGAGGTTAACGACATCATAGTTGAAATCAAGAAGAAATGGACATGGGCCGGGCATGTAGCACATAGGCAGGATAACTGCTGCTCATTAAGGGTAACAGACTGGATTTCCAGAGAAGGCAAGTGTGTTAGGGGGAGACAGAAAGTTAGGTGGGCAGATGAGATTAAGAAATTTGCGGGTATAAAGTGGCAGCAGCAAGCAAAGGACCGAGTTGAGTAGCGGAACATGGGAGAGGCCTTTGTCCTGCAGTGGACGTAGTCAGGTTGCTGATGATGATGATGCTCCGACGTCATCGGGATCATTTCTAAACTTCCCACTTGTGAGGCCTGTTGTGTGGTACAATTAGCTTAATATCTTAATAAATCAGGCACTGCTGTTGATAATATTGCTGTTTTAGACGGTGTCATACATTGAGCTTTCACTCTGACATAAATTGTAATTTACCTTCAAGGGGAGATGAGAGTCAAAAAACGGGAAGTTTTTTTCCAAAATTATATATTTCTCATTTTAATTTGCTTTCACAAGTACAGCTTTTCTACTCTCACAACAAAAAAAAAAAACTCAATATTGTAAGTAAACTTCAAGTAGGTTAAAATAGCTTTTAAATAACGTAAGGTGAAAACTAAAAAAAAGTTCATTGTCTAGAGTCCCCTGGTAATTTTCACCTGGCTGCTTGCCATTGCATTTTGCATTAGGAGTTCACTAAAGCCACATGCTCAAAATAGCACTGATTGCCAAGCTCTCATGATGGAATAAATTACCTTAAAAAACTTACCTTTTCTGCATAGGTGAGCTTTTACTTAAACCTTTAAAATGCGTTTTTCTCAAGATCCATTTTTGGAAACTTCTCGAGATTGGAAATCATGTTTTTGGTACTTCCGATAGCCCGATCGGGGTGAAATTGTGTACTCGTATTCCTTAAGATGTAAAGAGTGCAAGTATCTCTTTTAAAGCTTAATTTCGCCTGCACGAGTGTTACTAACCTAAAGTAAGCAATTTGTATGGGCTGAGGATTCTAAGAATTCTCACATTACAACTTTTCTATTAAAATGTCTTATACACACTTTCTTTATTGTTATTAGCATTCTGCAGTTAATGCAGAGCAATGTGAACTATTAGTGGCTCGGAACTATAAAAGCTGAAAGCAGAAAAAGTTTGTCCAAAAAAAAAAAGCTATACTTTACACTGTCATCGCATAAGAAGAAAACTGTGCAATTTACTATAAGAAAAATTACATATTTGAAGTCGCCATAAATGACTATATATATGAAAATTTTATTGGTTTTGGGTACAGATTCACGCAACTTTTTTTTTTTCCGAATGGCATCTCCCATTAAAGGTGCAAGACAGTGGACAGAAAAACTTTAAAGTTGCTGTCCTCTGTTGTTATTACTTTTTGTAGTGGTGGAATGTTTTGGGGGAGATTTACGGACGTGCTCGCACAATTGTGAGGTTTGCTCAAAATTCGGAAGTCTCCCATGCAAATAGGAGGGTTGGCATGAGTGTGCGTCCCAAAATGATCGTGCATGTTTACATTGTGAGGCCTAGCGCCATTATTTTTGTGGTCCTTATCCACCGTTCCTAGGATGTCCGATTGTGGGGGCATGGCTTGCATCAGTGTGGTAGGTGCGTGTAAACACAGTACAACTTGTAGGAGGAGGAAATCTCAACGCGAATGCACACCAAGGTGTATTACTGCCTCCAAGGTTCGTGCACTTAGTCTCCAAGGTTATGGCACGCAGCTGATGATCAGCTTGTGGGGCTGAGCATTATTTCTAGCCACTAGGAAGGAATGAGAGGAGAGGGCATGCCCAGCCAGTGCGCTGCGGGGAAAGTGTGGAGGAAATGACATCACGGCAGCCATATCTACTGAGCACACTGGTGGTGTTGCTATGGTTATGTGTTGTGCAGGGCAGCTTGTCTCGCAGTGAGCGGCGGCGGCATGGTGGCGGCATGTGCGCCTCTGTAGGTATCGTAGGTCTCGTACTGACCCGTGGCGGAGAATATCCGTGCTTTGTGCCGCATTGTTAGCTATGCAGTGTTCCCCGGTGGTCATTGTACTCCAAGGAAAGTGGATGAAGGAAAGTGGATGAAGGAAAGTGGATGAAAGTGGATGAAAGTGGGTGAAGGAAAGTGGATGAAGGAAAGTGGATGAAGTGCTCAGAGAAATTGCGTTTGGGAACCGCGGCAAACGCCTTGCAGGTCAGTGGCGGTTGTGCCGTGTTCCTGCTTGTGACAGCAGACGAAACATTTGTGCTGAAGATGCCACGTGCGCATATGTCGTTTCGTGTTCGATATGTGTCCAGCAACAATTTGCATACATGCATATTAAGACACCTTTTCTGCTTTGCTTGCTATGCTTTACCCTACGGCATTATAGCAACGATGTAGTGTCACTTGCACCGTGCACAAGGTCACCGCAGTTGTACAATGTCGACGACAATGAGCTTTTACATAGAACACAGTCACTGGGCACTGTGTCAGCCGCATGAGCGATGGAATGCAACCATAGAAGGTGGCACTCAGCAGATCGTGTTGTCTATACAGCGCATGAATATAAATGTGAAAACATTCGCACCACACTCGCTGTACTTGGTGCATCTAGCACGTGTTCTCTTGTGCTTGCTTCCTTGTCGGCGAACTGTTATTCGCTGTTTAGTACTCGGACGGAATTATTTTGCCAGCGGTAACGCGCTGGCCCAGCATGCTGAGCCCCGTTCCATTGGCTTCAGATCGCCACGACACGCGCAGCTCACGTGCTTGCCGAGCCGGAGAGTCACGCTTTCTGCTTTACATTCGGATGTAAGTAAGAGAGGAGAATTTGCCCAGTCAATATTGCAGACTACCGGCTTCACAACGAGCGACGTCAGGACCTCTCCTAAGTTGTTTCCTTCCTCCATAAGGTTTGTAGCAGTGATTGGAGGCATAGGAAAGTTGAATGCTCTCCTTCTAGCCTCCAGAACTGGAGAAGGCACTCCAGCACATTGTATTGCGACATTCTTTAACTGGTGTAGTTTCACTGTCCTGTCCCGCCCACGAGTGCCAGATATGGGGTTTTTGTCATTGCTGCTTGTCTAATAGCAAACATGAGTAGCCATAGGAGCAATTATTTCATTCCTTCATCATGTAATGCTCTATGGATCTACACCAACTAGCCTGGTCGCACACTTTACTGACCATTTAGTCCACCAGTTTCATTTCAGACAACTTCTATTTCTGCTTACCATGTCAAATCTTTCTTAAAAACTTTTACTTACAAGCGTACTGCTTACACTTGACTCTCGGCTTTCTCCATCAGTATTGAATAATGCGGAGTTCCGTTAGCCAACATTGAAGTTTTTATTTGATTTGAGGAAATCAGTAAAAAAAAAGTTTAATGCAACTGCACCTGCTCTCGGTGAAGAGAGAACTTTTTTTTAAGCATAAGCAGTGTTAAGATAAAGTGTTTATCTTACCTTTTGTCAGAAATAACAAACATGGTTGATGTGTAACAGTAATACGCTGCTGACGTTCCCAAGAGTGCAGGCTTTGCTAAGAGGTGGACACTGCCTTGAAAACCATTCAGTTGCCTTACTAGTGGGCTCTGTACGAGCTTGAGTTTGCGTTCTGGTAAGCATTTGTAAAGTGAGGCAGCTTTTTGCTGGACCAAGTCTTATAAAAATGTGTTGCCGAGCAGGATTATCGTGCCACTTGAAAAATCAGACTACGAACAAATGCTTGCATAGTGCTTCCCTTTATTTGACCCACGAATCAAACCAACAAAAAAATTTATACATTTATTTGCACCTTTTTCTATGCAAAGAAAAAACAAACTTGAAAGTGTAAAGCCAAAACCAGGAATAACATGTACTGGTGCTGTAATCAGGGAGCATATACAGTTATATATATATATTTGGATTCAGTGGAAGCCTAGTATTACAGTCTCCAGACACGAATGCCGTGCTGGAGCTAGGCTTTGCATCCCCCCACGCAGTATGTGGGAAGGGGCCCACGTTTCCTCCCTGGCAAAGTATCGCAGCAGGCTTTCAGTTTGAAGTGTCAATCACAGTAACACATACGGTACAAAACTGTCCACACTTGGTGATGAGAGCAGATCATGGTTTTGGGTGGAGAAGAACACAACCTCTTGCACACACAGGTACTCAGGTGGACGAAGCCAAGGCCCTGATAGCCACCAGCAAGCTCAAGATCCTGGCCTGTGACAACTTGGATGAGGCAGCTAAGATGGCAAGTGGTCACTCTTTGTTCACTTCCAGGGAGGGGGAGTCTGCAAGAGAAGGGCTGCTGTTGGGATCGCATGGCATATTTTCACTGCTTGCTGCTGCTGTGAAGCTGTTTCACAACTTCATGACTCTTAAACTATAACTCTTAAAATAATTCATGACTCTTAAAATAATTTTTCCATTAGCACAATTTTAGATCCCAATAAAAAAAATGTAAGAAGAGACAAGCGTCCACTATGATTTTTTTTTCCCCTCACTCATTTGAAGCTGTGGTTATACAAACTTCACTTGGAATTGCGCTGCACACCTTTCACTTGGAACACCCATCCAGTCAATAGACATTTATATACCATATTTACTCGCATAATGCTTGCACTTTTTTTTTTGGCAGAAAACCTGTGCAAAGTTAGGGGGTGCGAGAATTAGGCGGGGAAAACTTACCGTAAAAAGGTACAGAGTGAATAAGAAAACAAAGTGGCCGCACACCGGGATTCTCATGCCAGCAACCAACTGCAAACTTTCAGAAATACTAATTAAGACCTACCTGAAGAATAGAAGCACAGGTTGAGCACAAGGCAAGATCTATTTGAGACACAAAAGGTGCAAGCAAATAGTCGTGAATTAGCATACCGTACACAAAGCTTGCAGGCATAGCGGTAGCGTTCTTCACTCAACAGGAGCCGCAAAGGTTAGTGTACGACGTCAGTACTCTCAACGACCACGGTCTATAGGTGGCGCGCCATGCAATCCCAAGATGGCTGCGGAGTTAGGTACTTTTCCTAACTATAGGAACTGCTGAATGTTCCCTACCTCATTTCTTGCCGCAGTGCGAAGGGGTGGTGTTGCCAGCTGATTGTCCGTGTATCAATGATCCGTAATCCTGTGCATGCTACAGAAAACCGTGCGAACGAGAATCGACGTATGAACGAGAATTCACGTATAATTTGTGCTGAGCCTGCCTGGCGAATTTGCCGCAGTAGTAGGCTGCTAGCGAGTAGCGCACAGTCGCAGCTGCACAGGACCGAATGTTTATTGTAGCGATGGTTTGCAAATATATTACGCTGTAAGCATCATGCAGCAGCTTCTTGAATGGAACACAAGCATTTAACTTGCCATTAAGTAGCACTCGTGTCACAGCCACGATCAGACTCAAACAGTGCGCAATTTGCTGCACTCGGATGTTCCAGGTTCCACCAGTGCGATCAAAACGAATACACGCGTATGCTTTTCGCAACGTCATAATTGTGAAAATTTGTCAAGCAACAACGTCGTTCGGGCGGCACCGGCGAAGTGCAGAAGAAGTTAGCGTGAACTTTTCATTGCCCTAACAATTTCCCTTCGCTGGTCGAGCTCGAGTGTATTGGCGGCATGCGGCGTTTTGTAATATTCACTGTAATTGGGCTACTTGCTATGCACAAGAGAAAGTATGTTTTTTTATTTCGAGCTCGCTGAAGGATATTATACAATAAATACAATCAAAGTGACTTATGAGTGTCAAAAAAAACATTAACGCACAACGGGATAGCAAGCGCTTGATTGATATGTGGGGTTTAATGTCCCAAAACCACCCTATGATTATGAGAGACGCCGTAGTGGAGCGCTCCAGAAATTTCGACCACCTGGGGGGGACGAGAAGTGCAACCCGCTGCTCGTGAGCTAGCAGCTGATCGTACATCATTGCTGTCACTCTCACCGCGTCAACAACCATCTACATCCAGTAAAGAATCATCTGCGTCAGATAAGATGGTTTCTTTGAACATCACTGCTGAAAAAAATCTGAGGAATTCTCTCCCACGATTGACTTCGATAGCACCAACAACGCGTCATTGCACAACCCCAACAGGGCATCACTCTTTAGTTTATCTGGGAGTGCGGAGTACATTTCGCCCCAATAACAGGCGAGAAAAGAATTGCTTGCAGTGTGCTGCCATCTATCTACGAACGTCAAAAACAAGCAGCGCAGCTTAGGCCAAGGTTTGAGAGCGCAAATCGTGAGCCTGTGCTACTTTCTGCGTGCAACAAATGTTATGGGAATCATGCACTACAAAAGCACTGACGAATGCTATACGCACGTAAAACAAGGCGAGTTTCAACTAAACATTTAACTATCCAACATGGCTGCAGAAAATCTTGTGAAGCTGATATGAGCACTCTATGGTCTATAATCGAAAGCGCGAGTTGCCACGTATTTTCACGAAAACTTTGCCTCTCGCAAGGACTAATCAGATTTATCATGTCACGGACGGTCTGGTATATCACTGATGCACGCAACATACAAAGTTGCTAATAGCACAGTCTGCCTACCAATCATCCTTGAGAGGACGCTTCTCAATTTCCGCTAGGCGGCGCGACAGCCTATGAGCAAACTGAATAGTGCGCAGTTACTTTCTGGCGAAATAAAGTTTATCACCCATCCCAGTCTTAAGCACACGGAAGGCCCAACGCATCTTGGTAGCTTTCAGCTGCCGTCACCAGTAGCGAACACAAAACTCGCCGACTCCGAAGGCCTACCGGCGGCCATGTTGCCGTTTTTTTAGTGCATGATCAATCACTTTCAAATTGAAAGCAGCCGTGTAGCTTCTGTAACGCCCTATAACATAACATCATGGACACAATGTGCAAAACACGCCGCAACGTGCACTTGCCACTTTGAGTAGGCTTGGATTAAATCTCGGTGCAATAATAGTGCGCTTTATGCTTAGCGAGGACGCCGCATGGTGCGTGCTATCATCATCAGTGGTTAGAATGAGCAGACGACATTATTTCAGCAGTTTTCGATGGTGCAATAATTACTCGCGGAAACAAATAAATCATATTTTTGTTGGGCGATGTGGGGGGTGTGAGGATTACGTGAGTAAATACGGTATGTTCTCAACCAAACATGGGAATTGTTTTTGCTTTTCAACTCTGCCCAAATTATGAAAGGCTGGTCTAGTGGACTAATGGATCTTTCGCTTCCACCACAGGTGGTTCGCCTCTCGACCATCGTGGGCCTGGCACGATCTGCGTCGGTGGACGTCAAGTTTGAGCTGCCACTGTAGACTTGCAGGACCACCTCACCAAGTCCCTGCCAAAAGGGCAGGGCGCACACAGTGTCCCTCCCTGACTCCCAGCTGTAGCCAAGTGGCACTTTAATGAAGTGCACAACTTCATTCGATGGTTTTTACCTCGCTACAGAATAGTACTGCACCATAATACAATGGGTGTAAACCCAACCGTGATAAACGTAGTTCACAGCTGCTTCAAACATTAATCTCTTCGTTGAATAAAGTGTACATACTGTCCTATATGTCTATCCTTCTACAATGTAGTAGCTGCAAACATAACTGCCCAGTATGGTTTGGTAGCTGAAAACTTTTGTCATGTTTTTAGACACTGGATGTAAGGTGGTTCTGTGCCATTAGGGCGATTCAATAGCAAACTCTGTTTGGATAAAGCGATAAATGTTTTAGCAAGGAACGCCCTCAAACTCTTACTTCCAGTTCTACATCTAAAATTGGAAACTACCATCAGCACGAATTGGGAGATATGTGCACAACAACATTTCGGTGTAAAATAAAAGAATGACACCTTTGGCTCTCATTGTGAAGACATTACCTGCCGATACCAGCCACTATACTCGGCAGCAAACTTTTTTTGACAGCACTGTGGAACCTGCAGAACTAAAGCGCATGCCAGCTACCGGGCTCAAGTATCCAAATTTATGACAATTTTCTCATGTGCCTAGCTGAAATAAATGCTCCTTTATTCATTATAACAAAAATAATTGTTCGGAGTTATAGTAAAATGCAGTTACCATTCATTTTGAAACAATGGCTTCCTTTTCTTTCCATTTCTAAGATAGGAACACCTTTTCAGCACGCCTAATCACTCCAAAATTTTTCATGCTACCTTGCTTTTGCTTTAACCTAGATCTTGATCTGAGAGAACCGTGGTGTGCACCCTTATGAGGTCACATGCCCACTCAAATGCACACAGTCTTTATTTGTTGCCATGAGAATGTGTTTGTTTGAACACATTCTCATGGCAACAAATAGTGCCCTGTCTGGCCAACGTAGCGTGAGAAATTTCGGTGTTTTCCATACAGGAATGGGGTATGAGCTGTGCAAGCGAAACTTTACTCAACCTGTATGAGTCAGAAGTACGGTATCTAGAATGCATGTCTCCCACAGTGTGATTAGGTAAACGACGGCTCGAGCACGTTGTGCATGCATTGATGAGAAGTGGGTTTATGTTAGCCTGTTTCCTCAAGGAATAAACAGTTGCAAGTGAGTGCCTGTCCTGTCTATGTGTTTTCTTCGTTTGTGGGGTTGCGATTTTGGTGCAAAATTGACCATTGAATTCAAACTGGCTCAATTTTATAGATACGTGGTACAGTCGCAGGGAGCCAATCGTCTAAAGGCTAGTTACGTCGCTTCAACCTTTTGTGCATGTTTATTGTGGCGCTGAACCTTCAAATGCTGCAATGTTTTTTATCTCTTTGAGAAATTCAGAAATTGGTTGATAAAAGATTCCAACTTCAGCGCGATTGTAGCGATGTCTTTGCGAATAGCATAGGGTGAAAGCGAGGTGGCGACCACTAACGAACGCACCAGTGTGACAACCTGATCGTGATAAGCATCTTCAGATATGTGCTCGGGCATGGGAGACACGTAGCACTACTTGAAGCCGTCTAAAAGACACAGGAAGAAAGTCACAAACGCAACTGAAGATGCACGCAAGGGCAGAAAAGATTTTTAAGAAGACACAAAAACTTATCTGGGCATGGATCTGGCACGCGTGGGTGTCTAGTGAAAGATAACTGTTTTAAGGAATTTGATTTTATCTTTGTGCCAGTTAATCGACTGTTCGCTCACGCGCACGGTACCACTATTATTCGCATGGCATGCCTCGATCCTTTGACACGTTTCTTCATTTTTATGCTGGTACAAAACTACACATTCGTAGAATTTCGGCATGTACTTACACTCTCGACAATGTAAAGAAAGATTAAAAGGTAAGCCTCCAGTTACCAATCCAATAATGTTCCAATAATCTCCGGTTAATGCAGTGGCCCATCGGTCCAATGTTGCACAGCCTGTCTTTTAAAATGAATGTCTTTTAAACTAGCTCAACTCTCTGTTATTCTAAATTTAAAGGGACACCAGAAAGCAAAACGTTTTTCACATATTAGTAAAGTACAAGTACTTTCACAATCCCGAAAAAGACCACATTTACCATGGATGATGCTTAGCAAGTGATAGAATGCACGAAAAGAATATGCAGGTGGCGACGCCACCTTGAGAGTCTCGCACCAAACACCATAACGTAGGAAATTTTCAAGGCCTCTACTGGGTCCTACGTAGCTTCCAATTGATAACATTGAAGTACATCGCAATCAGTTGGTGCCATTGACTTAGCATACGAAGTTTCAAAAAATTTTATCGAGTAAATGCCTGGAAAATACTGAGAGTACAATTTGAAATTTCTTGTGTCACACGCAGAGATTTTAACTTAAAATTTAAAAACCAAACTACAACCTTAATTTTCTCAGCTAATAATGAAATTATGTGAAACATATGGCATTAGAGTTCTCAGAGTGCAGTTTGTCGATTTAAACTAAGTCATTGTTCTTCTTTAGTGTCTCTTTAACGCCTACTGCATGCATATAACCTCCGATCGCTGCCGCCCTATCGTGCAGGACCACATTCAACCACAAACCGCTTTGTAAAAGCAAAATAGCAGCTCGCCGTTGCGGGTTGTGTACCTAGACAACTTGCTGCATTGGCACTATCAGACAAACGCATGCATATGGCACAGCAGTCGTGGCACTGTTGTAACCATACTGCAGGTGACAACCTAAATGCACCTGCTTCCATTAGCGTTAGAGCATAGAGGAAGCTTGAAGAAACCTAATGTTGCAGTGTAGTTGCAGCACTGCAGTGTTTCCACTGACATTGAATTGAACTGCGTCGGCTATCACGACGACTGTGGCGCAAGTGTTGTTCACATACTTCCACTCACAATGCATGCTGTCACAATTACATAGCTTCAAATCCAAAACCACCCTGTGGCGCAGTAATGTGCATATTAAACAAAAATAACTCTTTTGGAGCAGCATGGCACAGTAATTTGCAGTTGGTGCAAATTGGCACAGGTTTCCCACCATTGCATGTGAAACCAGCGAGTCTTGATTAAGAGAAAATGCTGCATTGAACTATGACAGTCCAGGCGCGACTAACCACATGGAGAAGGGCTGCGGTTGAGGCGGCACAGGACGCGCTGTACGGTGCTCGGTTTCAGCACCACGGAGGAAGTTGCAGTGGCCGCACCCCGCTCGGGGAGCATGGGCTCCAGGCCAGGTGCCGGCAAACCCAGGGCCTCTTCGGACACTGCGTCAATGGGCAAGGTGCTGGCAAGGCTATTTTTCTATCCTCCTCTTTACCCGAGAGCAGTTGAATGCAGCAAAATATATGAACAAGCAGATTCTGTAAGATATGACAGCATCACGATCTTACGTACCGAAGTCTTTATGTGGGACGCTCCAGAGACACTGACAAGAACAATCGAGGTACATGGAAATTAGGCCAGCACTGCCAGAACATTGCAAAACGTCTGCTAGCTTCATACTTCAACTGGATAGCTCATTTTGGATAGTTAATTTTGCTGTAAAATAACCAAAAAAGGCCTAAAAACAAAAAACTCTTACATACGTTCAATTTATAGTCATTAGTCTATGTCGGTATATCTTAAATATCACTTTTACTTAAGCACTTTTTTTTTTCTATTTTAGCCTTAAACAATAGGGGGTGAACTTAAGTTATCTCTGGAACAAGATGAGTTACAGAAAAACTAATGAAATACTTGAAATCGTCAGAAAAAACGGCATAATCTTGTGCAGTTTGATCAAGATCACTGAAGAAATAAAAAAATGTCTAAGACCAGTCTGGCCCCTTAAGCTGACTGACTACGTGATCTGCCACGCTTTTCATTCACTCTTTTAGCTATCCCTCCTCCCACTGTTGCCTGAATCGGTCGGCGAATCTTGTCGTCTTAAAGCGCGACATCGTTAAAGAGCTTGTTTCACAGAAATTATGTCGTCGGCTTCTGTGTGCGAGCAAAAAAGCTGCGTTGGCCGTGAGCGAACAATCGAGGTAGATGCAATGAAGATGGTGTTTGCACGTCGGCCTTACTTACGGTAAGTGCAGGTCTCCGCTGACATGCGATGGCTCCGTGCCAGCGATCGGGGAGGTGATTGTGTGTTTGTTCTTCCGTGCGTGAGTGCATATATGCATGTGTGTATTTGTGCGCAGGATTTTGTGTGGGGTCTAGTGCACGTGTGCCGTGTGTGTGTTCTTCCGTGCGTGAGCATGAGGGAATGTGTATGTGAGAGCGCGCGCTCGTCTGCCTGTGTTGGCGCACTTGTGGGTGTGGTCGAGTGCGCGCGTGTGCTCTTCTGTGCGTGTGTCTGCAAATGTGCGTGCGTGTGCGCGCGTGCGCTGGTCAGTCAGTGCGCGCATGCTTGGGTGTGTGGGCGAGTGCACGCACTCGCACTCGTGTGTTCTTTTAAACGTGCGAATGTGTGTCTGTGTGCGCTCTTTTGTGAGTGAGTGTGTGCAAATGTGTGTGCATGTGAGTGCACTCGTCTGTCTGTGTGCGTGTGTGTCTGTTTGCGCATGTTTTTTTGCATGTTCTTGTGTCACTGCATTTTTCCTTGGGTGAAAAAAAAAAACTCCTTCTACGTGTACCTCAAACGCTAAGCGTCGTCTGTGTCTGTATGCAAATTAATGCTGATTGCGCTCAGCCATCACTTTCCACAGAGTTACGAGACGCGTGCCAAACCGGACTGCTTTGCATAAAAGCACATTTGCAAGAAGCTCCACTCCCGTAGCTTTCCCTTCATTGCCGAAAAATGTTGTCTGCGAGTAAAGCAGGTAAGTTTGCGCATTGAAGGCCTCAGTACCTCAAGGTATCTCTGCCAACATCCACGATGCAGCTCAGCTATCCTGCAAATCGTTTCCCTCTTCTTCAGTCGGGTGAGTTCACTCACTCTCTTGTGTACTTTCTACTCATGTGCTGCACAGGAGGGCACCAAATAATCTTGAAAACTGGCTCATGAATGTGTTCGCTTCGGTCACTATCATCACAACAGCAGCTGGGGCACAGAGAAAAAGACAGAATGTTGCGCCAGCCACCATCAATTCCTCTATTTGTTTTATTTGAGGCGGTTGGGGGGGGGGGGGGGGGGGGGGCAAGATAAGATAAGGTGTACAGCTAACCAGCGGGCAGCGGTTTCTATAAAGCAACATTTTCAAGCACCGCAAACCATCCCGCATAGACATTAAAGGAAAAGAGGAGTAGTAGGCTCATGCCGCCATGCGGCGAACGGAGTGGCCACGCCCCCTTTTGCAATTGCGTCTCCTTCGTCCGAATGAGACGGCCGGAGGAACACCGCCGGGCGCACTCGATCCAGGCAGCCGTGGCCTGGAATCTTGAAGCCAATGGCTGAAAATTGACCAATGGCCGTCGTTGCTGCTGTGGCTCCCTCTGCTTTCGGCCTGCTGCTACTAGCGCAGTAAAGCCGGGCAACGTTGTGCACAG